GACATGAACCCGACATATGATTTTTTGAACCTTTATTACACTTAGGTAAACTAACTTTAAGTCATCACAATGCATGGGATGTCAAAAATATTGAGAAATCACATCAAAGATGAAGGCAACATCATCATACATCTTCAACCGCTTCCATAATCTGCTAATATCGTCCGCAACTTCATCAAAGAGCAGTTCTTTCAGTCGCATCAGCCACAAGCATGTCTAACGACCGTCTCGACGCCAAAGACAGAAAAACGGCAGCAAGAGAATGGCTAACGATGTTGCCCACATGTCAACAATGATCCAGCCACCCATCATCCCCGCGCACAAATACATGCCACCGCACACACCACACGCACCCCGCCACAGATAGCTCCCGACCGACCACATCGGGGCAAACCAAGTGTTCCCGCCAAAAGGTCAAGTCTACAAACGATGCTTCCATCAACAAAAACGCCGCCAAGAAAATCGTCTTCACCAATACAACAAGGTTCTTCACAATTTTCACTCCAGAGACGATATCTCAAAGATGGGAGTGGTGTGAAATCAACTTATTAATGTCTTCAGCAAGAAAAACAACGCCCATAAAATGTTGTCATCACCAACATCGAGCATAACTTGTTTCGAGAAATTGCATACCTATAGGTTACAACATCCCAGACACCCCCACCAACAAATCTGGAGCCAAGACATCACGTACCGCTCCACGTATCATAGCCGTCATCATGTTGCCTTGGATAAAGCTGACCCAGGCAGCACGACCCAGAAGGCCGGCCCGGGCAGCACGACCCAGAAGGCTATCTAGAGCTTCTTCACAACCGTCACATATGTCGCATCCTGCAGTCCACAAACCACCTACACCATCCCGTTCTGTGAGTCCGCCTTTGAAGCATCATCATTACCGTATCGCCAAAGAATACCATGGGAAGAGGTGGGGAACCCTACCTTCGCTATTTATGACACGGGCTTAGCTTGACACCTCATCCAACGATTCCATTCTGTTCTATCTTTCAAAACCAAATACCAAAATGTAACAGTTCCATTTCTCCTAGTTGCCCTACCAAACAGAAAAATGAACCAACCCATTCTAGTGGAACGAACTCATGGCATTTCATTCCACTTCGTTCTTGAACTAAACACACCTTTGGCTATTTCACTGTGTCACCCCCGTTGAATACTTGCACTATCGTGCCAGGATAGAATGATACTGCGATTGTAATGATCCCGAAGGTAAATTCACCAAAGAAGGTGACTCAGTTAATACCAATTAGCCTACGTAATGTGGTGTACAATGTCGTACAAAAAATGGTGTCGCACGTTTGAAGGAAATTGTGCCAGATATTATCAGCCCAACTCAGAGTGCTTTTGTGCTTGGAAGAATGATTACATATAATGTTTTAGTGGCCTATGAGTGTTTCCACACAATAAAAATCAAGAGGGATGGCAAAAAGGGTTTATGTGCTATCAAACTTGACATGCACAAAGCATATGATCGAGTCAAGTGGCCTTTCTTGAAGGAAATTATGTAAAAACTTGGATTCCAGGAGAATCTAGTCAATTTATGCAATGTGCTTCCACGATTGAGTACCTGGTTCGCTTTAATGCGAAATAACCGAGAGTTTTACGCCTACAAGAGGTCTAAGAGACTAAGACAGTGAGACCCTCTGCCCCTATCTATTCTTGTTATGCACGGAAGGATTGAATGCACTTTTGGCGCATGCAGAGAAGATTGGAATTTTTTTGGAGTAAGGACGTGCAGAGATGCCCCATCTATTAGCAATCTCCTATTTGCCGATGATTCTTTGATTCTCATGAAAGCTAATTCGCATAATGCCGAAGCTTTGAAATCAGCTTTGGATTCTATTGTGCCGCTTCCGGGCAAAAAGTTAGTGTTGAGAAATCAAGCATCTTTTTTAGCCCAATACAAAAGTCGAAGCTAGGATAAAAATTTGTACCACTTTGAATATCATGACCGAGACTCTCAATGATAAAACTTTGGGTTTACTAACCAATGTGGGTATGGATAAGACTTTCTGTTTCCAGTATCTGATCGACCGTATTATCATGAAAATCAGTGGATGGAAAGAAAAAAATGCTATCTATTGGAGGGAAGGAAATTCTCCTCAAGTCTGTTGTCAAGCTATCCCCAACTATGCTATGTTCGTTTTTCAAATTCCTAGATTTTTGTGTAAAGGAATCAATGACGTGATGTCGCATTTCTGGTGAGGTGACAAGGACAATTAGAAGAGGATGCATCGGATGGCCTCGTGGAAGACGTGTGTTCCAAAAATAGAGGAGGTACCGGTTTTTGTGATATACATTCTTTCAATCTTGCGATGTTGGTAAAACAAGTTTGACATCTTCTCGAGAATCCTAATTCTTTATATGCTACTATTTTAAGAGCAAAGTACTTTCCAGATGGTGATCTACTGAATGCAAACTTAAAAAAGGTCCCATCCTTTACTTGGTAAAGTATTATAGCGGGAATTAATTCGCTGAAGCATAATTATATCTGGTGTGGACATAATATTGATATTTGGAAAGATGTATGGATCCCAAATTTCGCGAATAGGGAAATTATTACTCCAAAAGGGGGACACCGCTTGTCAAGGGTCTCTGATCTTATTGATCCAGTCACTATTTACTGGGATGAAGACCCGATGAGACAAATGTTATGGCCAATTGATGTTCAATGGGTCCTCGAGGTTCCTATTCCTCTGCATGACATGTCAGATTTTATGGTGTGGAGCTACACAAAGAATGGAACTTCACTGTTCGATCAACTTATTTTGCGGAATGGGACTACCGGCACGGGAGTAAACTTTGACATACTAATGGTATGGGACAAAATGATGTTCATCCTATTTAGTCTAACATTTGGAATTATCTTGGCCGGCAAAGGTTAAAATCTTTATTTGGCGCACATCACATGGCACTCTCCCATGTCATGTTACGCTTGCCAACAAACATCTGAAAGTGTTGCCCCAATGCCCATCTTGTTCTCATGGGCGAGAAGATACAAAGCGCCTATTATCTCAATGCGAGAAAGCTAAGGACTTATGTAGTAGGTTGGGGATGGATGATGTGGTTAAAGAGCATGTGAAATTGATTGTGCGGGTGAGGCTGTCCTTGAGTCCTTACTCCTGTTGCCAGACCAGGATTTCTTCATTTTGGGTCTTTAGAATGCGCGTGAATTGATAGTCATTACAACCCGGCTCTTATGGTAGGAAGACGTAAATTGGTTCGTGAGGGAACCAGTCAAGATGCTTATCAAATTTTCATGGGGATTCATGTTATAACGGTAAATACGTTAATGCCTCT